CTCGAGGTTAAAAGGAAGGTTGATCAGCCTGTAAGTACTTCAAGCATCAGCATTCCCACTGATGGAAATGCCTTTGGTTGATCAACCTGTAGGTACTGTAAGTAAGTACCCAAAAAGAAAATGAGTATGTACTGCAGAAGTCTCACTTGGGAGCTAGGTTCTGAATGCCTCTTCTGTAAAATAATGCTAAATATAAGAGCATTTATTGTTCCCTTCTGTTCACATGGCAGTCATTGTTTTGAGGCTACATTTGATTTTCCCCTCTGCTAGACCTTAATTCTCTCCTGCCAGGACATTGGAAGCAGTGGATAATAATAAACCAAAATGTGCTTTCTCTGGAAGTACAGTAATTGAGAAGGAGGCAAAAATGTAAGTGGTTATCTGAGAACCGTAAAGAGATACTCTGGCTTACCCAGCACAAAGATTTTGTGAGAATTACGATATATTTGCAGAGCCAAATGAAAATGAGTCAAGAGTGTAATTTGATCAGCGAGGTCTGACACTGAGGCACAAAATACCGGGATATTTCCTGAAGTGGAGAAGGTAACATTTAAAATAATTGTTGTTTTTAATTAATGCATGAATCACAGAGGAGATTATATTTACATTCCGAAGGATCTTACTGTGGGGATGTAGTCCGGTACATAGCCCTGCATATTTAGAGGACAGGGAGACAGAGAGCCAAGCTCAATTGATGATTTGCCAGGAGAGAGAAAAAGTCTTCGCCCCCCCCCCCCCCCCCAGGGCTGAGCAGCACTGGCTGCATCCTTGTCCCTCTCCCACCACCACCATCCGGTGCCCCAGGCAGGATGGCGATGCTTCTGCTCTGGGGAAGCCAGCTGTCTCAAATGTCGGCATGAATACTGTCTTGTACTGGCACATTTTGGACTCCAGTCTATAAGCAGTATTGTTCCAACACCAAATTACTTCAGAACACCTAATGGAAAATGAAAATATTTGGGACAACCTCAGTTTACAATAAACCTTCCCAAATGGCTGTGTATCTTGCTGGCTACTGAAGTAGCCTGGACTTATTTCTGTTTAGAGGTAAAAGGTTTTCAGTCTGAGTTTACCAATGGCTCAAGGTGTCACCAGACAAACAGAAATAAAAGAATTGGGTTTTTCTGTTTTCCACAGTATCGTTGAGTTTGCTGAAACAAGAAGGCTACTCCAAGGCCAAAGGGCTTTTTTGCCATGCTTTTTTCCCATGTTCTCTCCCTTTCCAAGGCACGTTCTGCAGTTGAGTTACTGTCTTCCCTTTCCCTTTTTGTGCCTAGCCATTCCCGCCCCCCCATAAGTAAACAACTCATTGTGGAGACCACATTGAGGTGTGGAAGGATTTTGGCACGTGCTTAACCAGAAGCCTAAGACTTTGAGGTTAGCAGAAGTTTAAAGCCGAGCTGAAGGACCTGGCTGCGCTGACTCTCTGCCCTCAAGCACCCTCATGATAACCCACCGCCTTCCCCCACGGCCTTGGGACCTTTGGATGCAGATTCTCCTCTGAGCGACCCCTGGCCTTTGTGGGCATCTCACAGGTATCAGCCCTGTGGCTGGCTGCCCCAACCATTGGCTCCCACTCTCCTTCCCTGGGCACGAACTGCTGCAAGCGCAGGGACATCTGCACCCGTTTGATGCCTATCTTGCCTTGCCTGCTCTGCAGCTTTATCAGCATCCACTTCACAACTTTGTAAATGGCTTAAAAAGTACATGATATTGGAAAATGGAAAATTTGGCGTTTGCAGCAGATAATGTTTCTGTGGAGTATTCAACATTTCATACTGCAGAATAGAACAGGAGAATCAATCTTATGTGGCAAATAGGTTTAGCCTGCAATCTGGGCAGTCATATTTTTAACTCCATTTAATGAGGTTAATGGCTTTTACTCAGTTTAAAGACAGAGGTTCTGTCATCTTTGTTCCTACAAAGATCCTACAAACCGATGAGTTTATGGTGCTCTATATTACTTCTTCCGTTTTCTTCAGTAACAATAAAGTAATCTATCCCCATACGTCAGCATATGATGTTTCCTTATTTTTTCGTTTACTGTACTCCATATGAACGTCAACAAAAAAATTGTAAGAATGCCAAAGAAAAAAGGGATCTATTTTTTTCCAGTACACTATAATCCCAAAGAGCCAGTTTGGAGGTGAGCCGCGAGGCCACCGTCTTGGATCAAACTCAATGGATTATTTTCCCATCCTAAGATTAGTCCCTGTTACAGCCATCCTGCTTTTCTATTCTTTTATGTAATCCCTGCTGTTTGCCTATATCATACATTTATTTGTTCTCCTAACCTGCAGCTCTGATTTCTGGTAAACAGAAATGATACTGACTGACCACTGCAGCCCATCAGTCATGTCGCTACGGATCACCCTGAACTCTGCCATGACCTCTCATTTTCATTGCTGAATATTTTGTGCACATATTTAGACAAACACATGGTCCCAAATTGGATTTTTCTACAGATAAGCAGCTGGTCACATTGTTCCCTACTCACTAGTGGAAAGCAATGTTTAGCTTGATGTAATTACTTCAGCCATTGACCATACTGCCTGATGAAAACCCTTGTGTTTTGTGCCATCCCAGAGGGCATATTCCTCCTTTGCTGCGCTGGCATTTGAAGAACCTCGGGGAGCTGTGCTGTCAGTCTGTGTGCTGATCTATGCCTAGGAAGTGTTGCTTGAGCCGATTTTGTCAGCACTGATGTACTTGCTTTGTTTGTTTGTTTTGGGCTTTAATAATATTATTAAAAGTCTTTGCTCCTGATGTATTTGACACTGTGCCATTGGTCCATTAGGATTTGGTTGAGTGTTGTGCATTATTTTTAATTTGCATTCACAGTATGCTCCATAATAACTCTTCCTGAATTCTAGCAATGGATGCTGTGAATTTGTATTAGCAACAGTGCTGATTTGCACAATGTGTAGTAAAATTCTTTATGAAGGAATACTGACTGCTTCATGTCCTTTAGGATAGGAGACCAGACTTTCCAAACAACAATAGGAATTTTTCTTAGAAAATTGTTCCTGGGATAATTGTAATGGGAAGGATTTCAAATTGAATGTAAATCATTGACACAAGCTGCTGTGGATGCCAAAAGTTTACATGGGTTCAAAAAGCAGACAAAACTGTGGAAGAAAAATCTAATAAACACCCAGATATCTCTGGTTCAGAAAGTCTCTGAGCCACTGATTGCTGGCAGCTAAGAAAGGATGCTGGGGATCACTGCATGCTTCCTCCCTAGGGATCTGCCATGAGGCACTGCCTGAGGAACATATTCTTCTAGTCTGACCCAATACGGCCTTTATTATGGAGTCATGTTAAGAAGTCACACTGAGAGCATTTGGGAAGAAGAGAGCACAGAGAAAAATCTCTGCCTTTAGGTTAATAACTTGGAAGTCATGGGGGTTCCTACATTAAAATCCTCCTTTACACCTTATTAGAATTAAGATACTGTTCTCCCCATTGTTCACTTAGGAAGAGCATACACATTAGACTGCAGTACAACCATGAGCATTTCAAGGCCTGCAGTGCCCTTTAACTGGATGAAAGTCTTGTGTGGTGGCTGGCTGAAGCTGGCTTATGCTAAAAGGTACGTTTTCGGCCGTGAATGTTTATCTGCAATGGGGTAGGATCAACGTTGCTGAAGGGGAGAAGATGGTTACTCATTTAAACTAAATAGAGGAATTCGGTGAAGCAGATGCAATACACTACTCCAGCACATAAATACCAGAGCCAGTTTACAAGAGTGAAAAATATATTCAATTTGTGCACAAGAGGCAAGTGCTATAGCAAATGCAGCAGCTTATAAGATGCTGAACATCTTGAAGACTTGTCCATGTGCCTCAGTTCTTCTCATCTTGACTTTCTGTAGAGAGTGACCTGTGCCTTACAACGTGAGCCATCGTTGGTGTACTTGACAAATGTCTCAAAACTGGGGTACCTGTAATTGCTTTTAAGCCCCTAATACTTTGGCTAGTTTTATGTAGACCTCAGTGGACTGTTTGCTGTTTAAATTGGTTATTACGTTATTATTTTAATAAAGATTAATTCCTAAGTATTAGAACATAAAATCCTGTTCTGGAAAAATAATTGACAAACCATTACGGAAACACTGAAAAAGTGCAGCAACAACAACCACACACAATGTTTGTTGGTTTTGTTTTCAGTTTTTGTCGTTGTTGTTGGGGGGGGGGAGCAGGGTGCTGGGTTTTTTCACTCTGTGAAATGACCTGGACTTTTCCATGTCCAGGAGTTTGGCAGGCAGCACCTCATATTCTTGCTGTTTATAATTATTTAAACTACATTGCCTGGAAATGGGGGTGGAAATAAACGGGAGAGTTGTGAAACAATGAAACGATGACTTTTTTCCCTGCTTGAAATATATGTTTTTGAGGTTGTTTTTGTTTTTGTTTTTTTTTGATAAAATCATTCCCTCACGTTGATGACTACACTGGGAATACCCAAATAGTAGTCTGACACCTACACCTCTCCCTGGGGAGTCTTACGCTTTTCCAGTACGTGGGACTCCAGCCTCACAGAGTATCTTTAGTACCTTTGCCTTCTTCCTAATTGTACGAGTCATCTCCCCTCGTATTTGCAATAGCTAATATCCCTGTGACAGCCATTGCTTAGATGAGAAAGCAGGATTAGGAAAGCATTTAATGAACTTTAATTGCTTCTTAATATGATTTAGCTGCTGGAAATAAGGCGGCTAAACTAGCATCATATGACCAGGCACCCTACAGGCACCACTACCAGACCTCTTCAGAGATGCAATCCTGTCGACCTGGGGGCAGCAGCCGTTCAAGGATGATGCCCAAGGTGGTACTTTACTTTTCCAAATTAGCGACTAAGTAGAGATGCAGGAACTCAGTGGCAAAGCCATCGTGACGCCACCTGGCTGATTAGTGTTATCTTTGTTCTGGGCAAGGCAGATTATCAGTTCCCACTGACTCAGGAAACTAATGGGAATCAGAAGCCAGGAGATGCTGCCCCTCATGGATGCTGCTGCCAAGAGATGGCAGCTTCCGGCTGTCCAGTGGGTGGCAGTCCTGGTGTACGCGATCCGGTCTCCTCCTGTGTGGCATCTTTGGCACCCATGCCCTCATTAGTGACCTTAGGTTACCTGGCACCATCACTACAGATGGGGCAACACGATGCAAGAGACAAACCTGGGCTTGAAATCCAGAGTTCCTAAATTGTAATCCTGATTTACCATTGATTCCTATCTTGCCTTTCAGTTAGGTCACTTAACCTCTCTAGTAAGCTGCTGTGTCAGTAAATTAAGGCTGATAACACCTAGAAGTATTGTGACAATCGATCAATAAATGTTTGTAAAGTTGTTTGTAAACATCAAGCGCTAAGTGTCAAGTCTCATTCATACAGACACCATTTATAATCTTCCCTTTTTCTTTGCAGGAACTTAACACAACCCAAAGATTAACCTTGTGATCTGGGGAAAAAAAAATCCCTTGATATTGTAGACTGATGTTGGCAGCAGAAGTCACGCTTGAAATATAACATCCTCACTGACATCACTAAATTTCTCATGGATTAGCTGACAGCAATACTGCAGAACTCATGGGAAAATTGTATAGCGAAGGGAAATAAGAGTGAGAGAGAAAACAGAAGTATTTTCTGGACTGTAATTCTTAATCTTCATTCACAGCTGGTATAGAATACTTTTAAGCTCTCTAAAATGACTGATTTATTCTGTGTTTCACACAGTCTTTTATGGATATTATGAAACAGTTTGATAACAGCCATTAACATAAATAGGAATCTGCTTATTTTCCTGAGGTTTTTCTGAACTTTTCCTGAGAAAATTGTGAGCTTGAAGTTTCTAACATCTGCTAGCCAGTGAACACATTTTTACCTTGAAAAGCTTAAAACTGTTGGCCCCCTACATGCTCATACATAATGTCCACTGGGTATAAACCCAGTTTTAAACCCAGGACAGGCCCAAAGCTGAAGCAAAATTTTTGCAAAATGTAATTTGTTGAAGATGTTCATGATTTATGACAATCTCGAAATTAATAAGCCTCTTCAGGACTTGAGAACCCTTAACACTGTTTTTTGCTTCTCCAGTCTGACGAAGTATTTCAAAGCCAGAAGGAGCACGGAGCTGCGCTCACCAAGGGGCTGCGGGTCGAGCCCGCCCCACACCGCACCTGCCGCCTCCGCCACGGCAGCCCACCCTGGCTCTCTACCGCGCTCGCACCAGCGCCCGAGCTAGCCAGCCGCGGTGCCTCTCTGCAGTGCCCTGACAAATACCCTGAAAGACAATTTGGTATTTCCTGGCATAGCGTGTGTTCCCTTTGCAGCGCCACAGCTGGCGTTGCACAGCTCCTCCGATGGATCAGAGGCATCCTGCCTGTTATTGTAGCGTCTAATCACTTATCAGTCACATAACCAAGCCCCTCGTTACTTCATTTTTACAGCTACAATAAACAGAGTTCTTGTTTTTGAGGCTTTCAAACTAGTGTTTTGGAACACAGTGAGAGCAGTAACGCAGATGCTCAGGGGAATGCTTACAGAGAGGAAAAAAAGGAAGGATACGGAAGAACTGGAAAGAAACAGTACGATGTCAGCCTGCTCATGACTGAAAGGCTGCTTGAAGCTATAGCATCTCTGTTAACCATTCTCTTAATAAATGGTCAAACAGTGCAGCCTTCTCATACCATAAGGCTTCGCACAGCAACGGCTGGCTATTATTTACCAAAACCATACCAAATGCATTTAAGAAAGCAGGTTGAATCTTGTTTAAAAATAAGATCAAAAGATATTAAAGGAGCAGTGACCTCAATTTTTCAGTCAGTGGCATGAAGGTAGACCACCCAGGCATCTCCCCTGTATTTCTGCCCTGGCTCCTGACTGTAACTCCTCTACGTTTATACTGCCTTACCCCTGCGTTGCATCTTGCCACATGTCCTGTTACCTAAGCTTGCTGCCTAATGAACTCCGAACACAGCTCCCTGCCATTGCCCCTCTCAATTAAAGTTTCGATTGCATTTTAATCCCTCCCATCACACAAGAACCTTCCCGTCGGACTTGTTACTGAAAAACAACCTCTTAGCAGAGGCTGCCAAGGTCCTGGCCCTCCCGCCGTAGCCCATTCCCAGGGCTGACCC